TTCATTTTCCTGATGCTTAGTAATATTGAGTATTTTTTCATAGACTTGTTGGTAATTTGTATTTCTTCTTTTGAGAAATGTCTATTTAGATTTCTTGCCTGTGTTTTAATTGGGGCTTTTAACTATTGAGGTTTGGAGTTCCTTTTGTATTCTGTGTATTAGTCTTTTGTCAGACGTGTAATTTGCAGGAACTTTCTCCTATTTCATAGGTTGTCTCTTTACTCTGATGACTGTTTCCTTTGTTGCCTAAACAATCCATTTTTAGGTTCCTATACTCTGAAACATTTCTCCGTTTTTCTCTTCTGAGTGAACAACCTGTTCTCTTGAACTGACTGTGGTTGTAATTAGAGATATAGTAGAGATTATTCAAAAGTCATGAAAAAATTTGAATAAAAGCAACTGCCTATTTATTGAAATTTTAAAGATTAGGTTGAAGCAGGTGCCATGGCCTTCAGTGGTGGCAGACTTGAGGAATATCATCATCAATTTGTGGAAGATCAGCGATCACTGGTGGGAAAAGCTGATCTAATGGAAGAGTTTGGCATTATTTTCAAAATGGTAGAAAAGGTTTTTAAACATTTAGAATTTTTAATACCAGCTTTGACTTGAAGCCATGTATACTTGTTTATTTTTAATCAGTGTTACATAAAGCAGTACTAAAAGGATGTATTAAATGACTAAGTCACAACTATTCAACTGCTGTTGTAGCATAAATGCAGCCTATATAATATGTAAGTGAATGGACAGTGGCTCTGCTTTAATAAAACTTTATGGATACTAACATTCAAATTGCATATAATTTTTATTTGTCACAAAGTACTATTTCAGTTTCATCTTGATCATATAAAAAATGTGAAAACCATTCTAAGCTTACAGGTTGAATGAAAACAGAGAGCAGGCTGCATTCCCTTTCTGACAGATATTCTTAAACCTCATTTTCCATATTAATGCAGTAGCAAATTGGAAACTTACTCAGCATTTCTGGTATCAATATTCTGTATTGGGTAGCAAATTGGGAAAATATAGTGTCATTTGTGTTGGCTGCTTTGAGAAACGGAAAGTAGGAAAGTGGGTAGAAGAGGAAAGTTATCGGGAAAGTGGGTAGAAGAGGAAAGTTATCAGGAAAGTGGGCTAACCTTGGGAGTATAATTAATCTATATGAGATACTGGTTTGTTAATCCCATTTATCAAAAATTTCTTGAGTGCCCACTGTTTGATACCGTTCCAGGTCCTTAGATACAAAGGAGTACGTTGCTTGGCCTTTGTCCTGGAAAGGGGGAAAGACAGTTGAGTTTTAAATATCTGTTGAGTTACTGTAAAATCAATAATGTACTTTGTGGGAGATTATTATTTACTTTTCCATAAGTATTGTAAATACTAGTTGGGAACGTTCATTGTTGGCCATGTTAGTAAATTGATTTTATAACTTCATGTAAAGTGTTTTGTTTTCTCCTTTCTTCCTTGAAATAAGAATTTGTGGTTTCCATCAGCCAGAGGGATGGATAATGATCTGTGGATAATGAATGAATGGTCCCTGAACATTTTGAGAGTTTGTAATAAGTGTCTAGATAAGGTATTTATAATAAAGCAATCATTTTTTGGTGTTTTCAAAGTAAAAGTCCTACAGAGCAAACTGCAGTTGTTGGGGATAATTTAAAAATCTGGAATATTAGGCATTTTTATGAAAATTAAACAATTTTATAAATGCTTTCCAGTTGTACCAAAAAGTGTTTCTGCTTTCTTTGGAGAGAAATTAGTAAATCACATGGGTGATAAAAATGTTTKTGCCTATTTTTTGTGTAGAAGGAGCTTATTTCTATCTTTGGTTTTAAACCAAATAGATGGTTAGAATGCACTCTGTCATGAGTACTTAAAGTGGGATAACCTCATGTCTTTTGTGTTGGCACGCCTATAGAAAAGAAGGTAGACAAAGGTGGTCAGGCAGTGGGAGAGACAGCTAAGAGGAAAAGTTGGTTAGCTTTGGGAATATATTAATATGTTTGAGGCACYGGTTTGTTAATTATATTTGCCAACCATTCTTGAGTACCCACAGCAGTTTACATTGTGCCAGGTCCTATAGATACCAAGTAGTATAGTTTGGCCTTTGGCTTAGAAAAGTTGGCAAAGACAGAAAATGATAAGTAGTGAGATGTAAYTAAAAAGGTTATGTTCTGGCAAGGTAAATGTGCCTGAAATTATTGGTAACAGAGCATTGAATGTGATTATATCCTTAGTTTCCTAGTTGAGCTAGAAGGGCTATGTTCCATGCAGAGGAAATAAAATGTATAGTAAATATATAGAAATTATGAGGAGGTGGAAAAGCAGTCAAGAGCCAGAAATTAAAGGCTTTGTATATTTTGTTAGTGTTTGAGTTTAATTCCATTACTTAGTACAGAGCTTCTTAGACCATGGTATAGAATCAGATTTATTATTTTATATGTTATATATAGTATACATAAATATATAATATATAAAATATATATGAATATATATAATATACATATAAACACTCACGTTTAAAGTTTTYTGGTTCATCATGGACTAATTGATTTATAAGATGCAATAAAATGTGTAGAAAAATGAAATAAAGATATATGAAATATGTTTCAAATTTTTATTTATGTTGAATCAATATAAAATTGCTTTATGTAATTGCTGTGAAAGTTATATAAATACTCAGATTTTGTGCTTACCTCATCATGGATTGTAACAAATATTTTATGGCTGGTAGTCTCAGGCTTGCGCTGGTCTGTGGGCTATACTTGGTGTGGTATTAGTCTGGGTAGTCTGGGTCCCTCAGGGTTTTCAGCAAAGAATAGTGTGATTATAGTTGTATTTAACACAGTGAAATTCTGGAAAATACGAATGATAATTAGATTTTAGTCTGGAAGACTGGAAACTAAGGAATCTTGGAATTATCACTTAGCATTTGAGGGATAGCTATAAATGGAGGAGAAAGTAAAGATGACATTTTTATATTATTAATTATATAGGGAGCAGTTTTCCTACTAGGCTATAAACTTGTTAAGGCAAGGCTGTATTTCTTTTGACCACTATAACATAAGATAGGCACTTTAAAAAATTATTGAATGAATGAATAAATGACTAAATGAGCGAGGGAGGCAAATGCAGAGAAAGTATTTGAGGCAGAAGGATATAATAACCAGAATCAAATGTTTTCACACTGAGAAAGATGATAATTTAATAATATTTACTGGATTTAATAATTTTAAGGTCCTAAGATGATCATCTTTAGAAGAGTGATGAAGTTAAAAGTCAGATTGTAGGGGCTAGGGATGTGGCTCAAGCGGTGGCGCGCTCACCTGGCATGCGTGTGGCCCGGGTTCGATCCTCAGCACCACATACAAACGGGGATGTAATAATAAATATTTAGAGAAAATTCTCTCTCTCTCTCTCTCTCTCTCTCTCTCTCTCTCTCAAATAAAAAAAAAGTCAGATTGTAATGTCTTCCTCATCTCTATTATCTATCTGCTAAGGAAAAGAATAGAGAGGTTCTTCAAAGTATAACATTTCATTAATTAATTTTAATTTACTGAGAAGAAAAGTAGTGATATATCATCTTATTGTCCATTTGGTATTGTATGGAAAATACCTTCTTGTAAGATTAATAATAGGAGTGTAATTTTTTCTTCATTTCTGCAGGACAACTAAATCTCTACTAAATGAAATTGAAATTGATTTTTTTTATATTTGATTCTGATTTGAGAAGAAAATTGAAATGTGAATAATTTGCTTCATCTTATTTTCAGTTGATTTTTACTGAATCTATTCCCTACTATTCTTGATTCTTTATTAGAACTTTACCAATAACATTCCATTTTCATCATAAAATAAAGTTTATTTTATTTTGTGCCAGGCATGTGTTTGGCTAAAATTTTGTAGGAAGAATTCTGGGATGTGGGATGTAACTTCTGAAGAGCCAGAAGCAGAAAAAACAAGTCTAGGATCCTAATTAGAAGAAGATATATTCCATGTGTGTGTAAATATGTTAAAATAGCTACTGTCATATATAACTAAAAAGAACAACAATGACAATAACAAAATACCCAGCCTGAGCTAGTCAACCCTCCTTAGCACACTCCTCGCATACTGCAGTGGTCTGTTATTTATTTCCCTGCCTGCAGGCCAGTGGACAGCTAGGCCATTGATTGTCAGTGCTGCTTGGAATGAACACTTGTTAAGATGTGCACACTTTATTTTTGAAGAATTTCCACGTGAACACTGTGATATCATCATGCTGCTTTAATTGAAAGTCCAGTTTCAGTTTGCCCTCATCAAAAATTCCTTCACCAGAAATTGATTTTTGATAAAAATAAAGGTATTCAGGATCTTAAAAAATAGATTATTAATAGAAAGAAGTGTGGGGTATCATAGTAGCTAATTTAGCATGTTTGTTTTTTCATTTAGTTGCTTTATTTCTTATAATAAAATTTCAGTAGAATCTTTAAGAAACATTCATCAAATATGACATTTGCTATAAAAGTGACGGGTGCTCTCAAACAATGTCTGGTGAACTATTAATACTTTGTCATCTGTTTTTTTTGGTACTGGGGATTGATTCCAGGGGTGCTTAACCACTGAGCAACATCCCCAGCCCTTTTTTTATATTTTATTTTGATACAGGGTCTCACTAAACTGAAGCTGGCTTTGAATTCACAAGTCTTCTGCCTCCACCTCCTGAGCGAATGCCACCATACCTGGCATCTTTGTCATCTTTATTAGTGTCTGGCTAGAAACTGTTTTGCAGTTGGTTCTGTGATTTTTTTTTTCCATAAAAAAATAAACTCTGGCATTTTCCCTGAAAAAATTATGGTTATTTTACCATATAGTGGTAATGAAAATCCAGAAGAGTTAAAATAATACATAATATTATTTGAAAACTAGAATTTTTTGTTTTTTTAAATTGTTGTTGTTACTAAATGTACACATTCAACATTCTTCACAGTTATTTCAAAAGATATTCCTGCATCTTTTTGTAGAATGAAGAGCAAGAAGTGATCCTTGTTAGAACAGATGATTCTGGAAGAGTGTGGCCTGTGAACACACCAGGAGAATCTCTGGAATCAAAAGCAGGAAGAAGGAAGAGACAGAAGGTATAGTTAACATATGTCCTTGTTTCTTTTTGCATACTTACTATATCTCTTAGGGAAAAGCTTTATGTCCCAGACCTGTTACTTCCTTAGATGGCTATTTGAGACCTGGTAATGGTGTATCCACATAAAGTAATGTCTTAATTATGTAGGTGCTATGAACCCTCATACACCTAATTTTCTTTTCCATCTTTCAGTTCTAGCAATTAGTTTTTAGCACCAACTTGAGGCTCTTAAGATGGCAAAAACTGCATATTTAGTTTTCCTAAGTAAGGTTTTTTTTKTTTGTTTGTTTGTTTGTTTAAAGAAAATGACATCCCTGGGGAAAAGGAAAAGTAAAGGGGCAGAAATAGGCATTGTTATTCTAGTAGAAGTTCTTTAATATGGAAGCAAGATAATACAAATAATAATTGAGAATACAAAAGATTTAAGTGCCTGTTGCTGMCAGAGATACTAGTTACATTTTTCAACAAACAGAAGTGGGGGAGATACCTCTTCTAAAGTAATGAGGAATTAGGGGAGTACAAAGGAGCTATGTAGGAGAATAGTAAAGGTTTGAATATATAACATGACAGAACTGCACAGGGATCCATAAATGCATTGAAAGAGGGCACTGAGGGCCGTTGTTTTTTTTTTTTTTTTTTTTTTGATAGGCATACTATCAAGCAAAAGGAAGGCAGGCATATTCATTCAGGACTGGGATTTGCTCTTTGAGTATAATGAAAGGGCAAGAGGGCCAGATATTAAGAATCTGGAGCCAGGGAGTGACTGAAGTCATTGCATATGAGGTTTAAGCTAGTGAAGAAAAGAATAGCAATATTGGAAAAATAGTGGGACTCTGGTTGCAAGGATCTCAAAACAGTTGAAGACCAGCTTTTATTTGGATAAGGAAATGCAAGAACAGCATTCAGCAGATTTTGTTTGGAAGGAAATAAATAGCACTTAACTATTCCTTACCTGGAAATGGATCCAACTGAAAGGAAAAGACAAGATTGAATTAGATGGGGATCAGAATATTGGTATTATTTCTGATAAAGCTGTTTGTAGAGTAAGGTTTTAATAGAAGTGGATGTCTTATCATTTCTATTTGCTGTAATAATACCATGGACTGGTGGCTTACACAATGAGAATTTATTTCTTATAGTTCTGGAGAGTGGGAAGTCCAAATCAGCTCTGGCAGGTTTAATGTCTGATTGAGGGCATGCTTCCTGGTTTGTAGTTTGTGGTTTTCTCATTTTATCCTCATATATTAGAGAGGGGCAGGCAGAGAGAGAAAGTTCAAATGTCTACTAATATATAGGTGTATTAATCCCATTTGAGACCTAATTACCTCCTGAAAGATTCCATCTCTTAATAGCATCACATTGAGATTTCTACTTGTGAACTTGGGAAGAATACAAAAATTAAGTCCATAGTCATGGATTTGCTAATATTTTACCTTTGTTTTTGATATTTGATCTCTGGATAACTGTAGTCTTTCTTTCACATTGCTAAGAAATTTTAACTACAAGGTGAAGAGCAGAGAAGAGAGAAGAAGTGTAGGTTAAGTTTACTTTTATGCCCAAATTCAGAAATCAGATGATGTCATTCTATCCCTAGGGAAGAGGCAAATAAAGGACAGAGGTAGGGATTATAATTCTAGTGGAAGTTCTCTCACATGGAAGCAAATAGTGTAGGGAAAAACTGGAAGTAATGGTTCTGATACATGGTAGGATTTTCATATATATTATCAGATTTATCGATAATCTATTAAAAATGCTTCAGGGACATGTTTTTACCAAATTAATTATGTTTATCTTGTCATAGGTTTTTACTCATGAGGAAAAAGAAAGGGTTCGATATTTTCCTGATGATGATCATCTCAGTCTGAATGACTTAGTCAAAAATGAAAAGATGGGAACAGTAGAAAATCAAAACAAACTTTTTATGAAAATGGCATCTAAGGTAAGAATTATGGTTTGGATCTTTAGTGTCCTTTAAAAAGCTCATTTGTTAGACAATGCAGGAATGTTGAGAGTTGAAATGATTAGATTATGAGAGGAATAACCTCATCAGTGGGTCAGTCCATCCATGACTGGAAAGCTGAGTAGCTTTCCCCTTTTACACCCTTCCAACATGATGTTCTTCTTTACTCAGGCACAAAGCAATGGGGTCTGTGACTATGGACTGAACCTCTGAAACCATGAGGTCAAAATAAATTTTTCTACTCTAAATTGTTCTTTTGGTYACAGAGTTACAAAACTAACATAGAAATACATATTTCTAGGATGCCTTTGAATTTTGAGAAGCTGGTTCTACAATCTCACAATGATCTACTTTTTAGAGATTTGATTCCAATCTTGGTTTATTTTATTAAATTAAATCTTGTGTAAGACATTAGGAAAATATTAAGACAAAAATATATTTTGATTTTGGTTTTAAATATAGAATCTGCTGTACTTCTCTAATGTACTCTAAGAAGATGTTAATTATATATTTGCTTTACCATTTAAGGGAAAGTTAGGGGCCAAAATTTAATGATTGGCAATGTGCTGTTTGTTAAATTACCAGTATGTCTTAATTTAATATTCCTCTGGTTCTTTATAATGATATCATGAGGTAAAAAATATTTGGAGTAATAGATTATGGATTATAGAGAAGACATCTTCTTGAATGTGTCTACATAAATGTATATTACTTTAACAGATCATTATGAGTAGTAGAATGAATAGTTGTGTTAATGCATGTTCTTTGTGGTAGTCTCTTCCTTTGCAATTCCTTCAAACACTGCCATTTCCATAAAAGAGACATTGTATTTAAATTTTGCTCTATGTTAGGATTTGGCAAACTATGCAGGGGAAAATTCATTTCACTGTCTATATTTACAAATAAAGTTTTGTTGAAACACAAATATACAAAGTGTATACATTGTCTAAGGCTATTTTTGCTGATATGACTCAGTTGAGTAGTGTGACACAGACTCCATAGCCCACAGAGCTGCAAATATTTACTAACGAGCCCTTTTCAGAAAAATTATCTCATCCTTTACTCTATAATACCAATAGTTATGTTTTGCAATTGAGAATTTAAAAAGGGGTATCTGAGAGGAATGGTGAGGTGAAACTGTTCACTATATACCTTTTCTGATTTGCAATTTTTTTTGTATTATGTKAATATATTACTTGGTCAACAATTAACTTATTGAAACTTAAAATAAAGATAACCCAGGTGTCTGAATGTGCCAGGAACATGAGAGGGTGAGGAGTAACCTAAACTTAGTTTAAAAATAGAAGTGGTCATTGTACTAAGCTCCAGGAATTGTATGGAATCTTAAATGTAGCATATTAGCATAATTTTAGCTCTGTTTAGCATAATTTTACCTGTATTTAGTTTGGAGAAATTGCTTAAATTTTCTAGGATCTGGAAATTTAGTGCAGAAAGATGGACATATGAATTTTTATGAAGTTCCACTCAGAAATGTTACTTTTTATATTAGTCTGAATGAAACACAGTTTTAGTAATCTCAACATAGTCCATTCAAGTTTACACGTAAATTTTTTTTCTTTGAAAACTGTAATAGTCATTTATTAATCCAGCAGTCCTTTGTGAACCTTATTTGTGCCATATACCATTTTAGGTGCTAGGTACTGAGAAGCAATCAAGTTGAAGTTAGTGCCATCAGAGGGCTTATATTTCTTTTGGATGAAGCACAGGGAACAAATACAGAAAATAAAATATTATAAAACATGTGTAACACAGAAAATATATTTTTCTGTGAAATAAAGTAAACCACAAGGAGATGGTGGGTAATGTTTTCAGTAGAATATCAGGAACAAGGCTTCTTTGTGAAGGTGGTTTTTCAGCAGACTCTGAGCAAAGTGAGTTCATGTGAGTTCAGAGAGGAGACTATTTGAAATATAAGAAACAGCAAATGAAAAGGATCTGAACCAGAGACAAGCTTGAAGAACACCAAGAGATAGTAAAAAGACAAATGTGACTGGAAGTAAAGGGAGAAAGAGAAAGACGAGATGAGATTGGAGACGCACAAGAAATGAGATATTAAATTCTCACAAACCATATAGTGAGAAATTCTGATTTTGTTTTGAATGATGGGAAGCTATTTGTAGTTTTTTAGTGGGTATTGGCATGATCATGGTTTCTTATATTTTGATCTTATTTTTCTACTATTCTTTTGAGAGGTAATATACAGTGAAATTCTTATGATAGACAATAGATATTCAGTAAATCTTTTCTTCACTTTCCATTCATTTTTTGTTTTGTTTTTACATGATTTAGATATTTCCTAAAAATTTTAAGCAGAAATCAGCCAGTATTGATTGCATAAGTTAAACTATAAACTGGACAAATAAGTGTACAACTGATATAAATTCAATCTTGCTTTTTATGAAAGAGATGGTTTGGCTGACTTATATATTGTCAAATGTGTAGTTGTGTTGTATTAACATTTTGAAAAAGATGTTATTTTTATCCAAGCAAATTTTCTTTGTATTACTTAATGGAGATGTTAATTTGATTGAAGCAACTAAGGAAATGAAGACAATGCCAACCCTTTTCTCCTCCTATAATTAATTGTGTTAAGTTTTTCCTATGTGTTTTTGGTGAGTAAAGATTGAGTCATATATGATAGCAAAGGGAAGAAGGTAGACTTAAATTACATTAGGCAATTTTATATTAGAATAAAGGACAAAGGTGTTTTTTAAAATGCACACTTCAATACCAATTGTTACCTTTTTGCAGTAGAACTAATGGAGGTACAGGTTACTGTGGAAATGCTGATTTGGTATTGTGATTTTTAGTTCTGCCTGACAAATATTACACAGCATAGTAACAATGGGTTTTTGTACCACTAATTATAATTAGTATGGAAAAAATTTGAAATAATAAAGCTTATGAAGTATTTAGAATATTAACCATGTCTATAAATACTGTACTTAATTATTTTTAAGTTTACGAATGAAGTAACTAAGTTATTACATTTTTTAGAACAAGTAATATAATTGATAGGTAATTTAGAGATGTTAAATATTTTCACGAAGAGACAGTGAAAGCTCCATTATATTTCTTCTTATTATTTTGAAAGGCATTAGTCAAGGATAAGGGTCAATAAAGTTTTTCTGTGATAGGCAAGATGGTAAATAGGGTTGGCTTTCTGTTTCAGCTTTTTGCTCTGCTATTTTGGCACAAAAGCAGCCATATACAACATGTAAATGAACTTTGTCCCATAGCTTATTAATCCCTAGATTTAGGATATCTAAATGGTACATATTTTAATGGCAAATACCTGAATTTTACTCTTCCCTTATTTACTAGTTTCCCTTAAAATGTCTTCTAGGCCTCAGGAGAAGTAGCTAGTCAGAAATAGTTGGAAGAGGAAAAATAGTAATTTTTCTTTCTTTTTTTTTTTTAAATTTTATTTGTTATTTTTAGTTATATATGACAGTAGAATGTATTTTGACACATCATATGTACCTGGAGTATAACTTCTCATTCTTGTGGTTGTATATGATGTGGACTTAAACTGGTCATGTACTCATGTATAAACATAGGAAAGTTATGTCCAATTCATTCTACTGTCTTTTCCATTCCCATCTCCCTTTCCTTCCCTTCCCCATACTTCCCCCTGTCAATCCAGTGAACCTCCACTTTCTCTTCCCCCATATAAGTCAGCACCTGCACATGAGAGAGAACATTTGGCCTTTGTTTTTTTGGGATTGGCTTATTTCAGTTAGAATATTAGTCTACAGTTCCATCCATTTACTGGCAAATGCCATAATTTCATTCTTCTTTATGGTTGAGTAATAATCCATTGTGTATATATACCACATTTTCTTTATCTGTTCACCTGTTGAAGGACACCTTTGTTGGTTCCATAGCTTGGCTATGGTGAATTGARCTGCTGTCAACCTTAATGTGGCTGCATCACTGTAGTATGTTGATTTTAATCATTTGGGTATATACTGATGAGTGGGATAGCTGGGTCAAATGGTGGTTCGATTCCCAGTTTTCTGAGGAATCTCTGTTCTGCTTTTCAGAGTGGTTGCACCAATTTGCAGTCCCACCAGCAATGTATGAGTGTATCTTTTCTCCACATCCTCTCCATTGTTTATTGTTCTTGTATTCATAATAATTGCAATTATGACTGGAGTGAGGTGAATTTTCAGTGTAGTTGTAATTTGYATTTTTCTAGTCACAAGTGATGTTGCACAGTTTTTCATATATATGTTGACTGATCATATTCTTCTGTGAAGCATCTGTACAGTTCCATTGTCCATTTATTGATTTGGTTATTTACTTTTTGGTGTTGTTTTGAGCTCTTTATATGTCCTGGAAATTAATGCTCTATCTGAGGTGCTGTGGCAGATTTTCTCCCATTCTGTAGGCTCTCTTCATGTGCTTAATTGTTTCCTTTGCTGTGAAGAAACTTTTAGTTTCAAACCATCCCATTTATTGATTCTTGATTTTACTTCTTGCTCTTTATGACTCTTGTTAAGGAATTTGGTTCCTAAGCTGACAAAATGGAGAATTGGGCCTACTTTTTCTTCTAGAAGGCACAGGGTTTTTGGTSTAATGCCAAGGTCCTTGATCCACTTTGAGTTGAGTTTTGTGCAGGGGTAGAGATAGAGGTCTAATTTCATTTTGCTACATCTGAATTTCCAGTTTTCCCAGCACCATTTGTTGAAGAGGCTATCTTTTCTCCAATGTATGTTTATGACACCTTTGTCTAGTATGAGATAACTGTATTTATGTGGGCTTGTCTCTGTGTCTTTTATTCCTTACTATAGGTCTTTATGTCTGTTTTGGTGCCAATACCATGCTGTTTTTGTTACTATAGCTCTGTAATATAATTTAAGGTCTTGTATTGTGATGCTTTCTGTTTTACTTTTCTTGTTGAAGATTAGCTTTGGCTAATTCTGGGTCTTTTATTTTTCCAAGTGAGTTTCATG